CCGTCCCTCGTTCCAATTCTCCTTACTTGTGCCCATCCCATCCCATCCCATCTCACCGTTATCGTGTAATGTTTAGCACCTAACTAAAGTGTCCTTTATCTTCATCAAATTTACATTTAAATGCTATACCTACCACATAATATAATATCATAGTATATTAACATATTGTCACCAAACAGACCTATTCCATTCAGAGCATTACAAATCAACCTTATAATACAATTACAAGACGAATAAACAACCCAAACCCTCCTCCCCTCCCACCATAACAAACTCAAATGTCCTTCATCCCATTCGTCTTGTTCCATTGAATCAATCCATCCATCCCTTCCTATTCCATTCACTACCGTCACATGCATGCATATCAGCTTATCGCTTTTTCATGTACTCATCAATTGATATTTCATTTTATTGTTCCTTTCAACTTCAAACGCTTCTATACCTCCTCAGATAACACACACTTATTCTAGTTACACTTTCATTTCATACATTTTTGCGTTGTTTCAGTACTAGATTTGATATTTTTTAATTTTTCCTCATTTGTCACTATCAAACGCATTCTTTGCTTACAATTTATTTTAGCACGAATAATAATAATAATGATAATAAGATGAGAGTAATCAATCCGTTGTTGATCTTAATCCGTTTCAAGTGTCCTTTATCTCTATATCCCTTCTTTCATTATCCATCCACAACCCTAAACCCTTCCTTCTAACCAGCTTCATACATATATGAAACCATCTACTGCTCTCATTTAGTTCGTTTACCCAAATACACTTTCTAATCAATGGTCATTATTTATCTAAGTATCTATCTATCTATCTATCTATCCTTTTGACATGTCGTCGTTAAGCATTTCTTATTATTCTCAAGAGTCAGCCCTTCACAACTTGTAACTTCAGCTTCATCAACTATACAACTACATATATCCATCCATCCGCTTCAAATCAAACTCATAAATATTTATTTCAAACATCAAACAATTCTTCATGTTATGCAATCAACTTCATTATATTATATTAATAAAGCTGCGATTTATAAAAGAGATAGATCTATTAATGCATGTTCTATCAAACTCATAAGAGTTTATCAGTCATATCCTCGTAATTATCCATATTTAACATCCGTTGTATATATCAGCAATCTGTATCCATCCAAATTACATTAATCAATAACTCATTTCTTCACTTATAACACCACCATTCCATTATATGATAACAACATTAATAATCACTCTATACGGCTGTCACATATTCGATTTGTATCAATCATCCCATCCCTTAATACTTAATACACTATCTCTGTTATAATCCTAATTATAATCCATCCTTCTAGCCACAGTTCCATCCTACTCTGTTGATTAATCACGCATCACGCTCACTTCACTTCAACTCAAACTCAAACTTTCAACTCAAATTAAATTCATCAAATCAACAGTCAATCAGCCTTTCCATATTCAGTGCAATTTAAATATCCATATCCATTGTCTAAAATATATCTCTTCTTACAATAAACCTCAAATGGAACTTTAAAACAACCATATCATATCTTATCTTATCTTAATCTAAATCACAACAAAAATATAAACACAACTACAATACCACAATCATATTATAGATATTATCATTATTTATATTCTTATCATATTATAAATCATTATTATATAAGCTCTGGCTCAGTCTCATCGCATTCGATGATATCAATTTGTTACTAACAGATGGTCAATAATCTCAGTCAGCAATTCACGTCTTCTATTATGCTCTTGACTCGTCCTACTACATTAAGCTACTCGTCATCCTCGTGTCCATGCTAACAGTTGACAACATCAGCTTTCAGAAATCTCTAAATGCACTTACTACATCCATATCAATATCCTTACGAATACTATTAGCTATTACATATCTTAAATAATTTTGCATCATATGCATTAAGACTGCCATCCTACTCGAATATCATATCTGTTAATTTATAAACAAATATCAATTACTTATGCCAGTATAAACAACTCATACTTGCTGCTTTATCTACTCGATCAAGCCTTAATAATCCAACCCAAATACTCAACTCATGTCAAGCTTCTAAACTTATTGTACTTGTTCTCTTGCGAATGAACGCATTCAATGTATTGCTCGAATAGCAGTCGGCCATACAATTCAGATGGCCAAGCAATCCATTCACAATTCATCTTCGGTCGTGATAAAAGCAGCCAAATCCCTAGGGCTTTACTCCTTGTTCGTTGTTAAAGTCAACAATCAGTTCAGCTTGCTATTGTTGCTGTTGTTGGCTTCACGACTATTTAAGTAATTAATTCCTTTCTTCAATTCCCAATCAATCATCTCACAAAAAACTTCTCGATGCTCAACTCAAATTTCTCCGCCCGCGATCACGTCCTTTCTAAGTGTCCTCTCATAAACTCCAAATTCACCAACTAAATATCTATCTATCTCTTTCAACTAAACTATTTAACTCATCCAAAATGTTAGGCGAATGGCTTTTATTATGAATAAAAATGTTGATTTTGAAGTATCGAGTATGCAACTTTGAAATTTCTTATCTAATTGTGCGACAACTTTCTTCTATACCTAATATAAACCGCCGTAATCTTGTTCAGTTTCACTCACACCTTCTCTCAAAACCTCTAACATAAATTAAAGTTGAAATAAATGAATGAATATCTCTTTATTTTTGTTATTCAGCCCGATTATAGACTACTGAATTTTTTACGAACAATTTTTGCTCTTCAAATCAGTCAGTCGTTGATTTGATCGAATGCGATCGATCATCACATCACTGTCTTCTCATTTTGTTATGTTTTCACATTCATTTATTTGCCTACCAATTGAACATGATCGCTTGACAATCACTATATCTAATCAATTCATTATTCAGTTTATCAACTTCGATCATTTTCAGGTCATTTTCATCTTAAAATATCTAATCACCTACAACGCCTTAAAATATCACGTCCACTGTTGTAAGGCTAATTCCATATTTGCTGCTCGTCTCAACCAAACGCTAAGACAAGCAAACGATCGGCATAAAGCATCATTCCAAAACTCATAATCACTGATTCCTACTGCAACTACAAAACCATATTCATTCTCCTTCTCGAAAGTTGAAACACTCATTTGGTGATTGATTAGCAGCTATTGTTCTCTTTATTGTAAGCAGCCCTTGAAACGCTCAAGCAAAATCTCTACCCGCTAAGTGAAGCAAGCGTATTTCATGCTATATCAACACCCATTACTATGCTAGCAGATTACTCATCTAAATCCTCGTGCTCCATGCTCACTACATCCCAATCCTCAAAATATCTCCTCGCCCAATCCGTTCACCTCGTCAAGTTTCGCTCTTTTCATTCATGAACCAAGCCAGCAATAACCTCACCTCCTCCAAACCACAACAAAACGAGCCAGTCAAATCATCTGTTTGACTGCTGCAACTTCTACTCAAATACGATTGTTATTGCTAACAAACTCATAACTGTCATCTTCTTATCACTCCGTATCACTCATAAATACGAACCGAACCACTCGAAGTGTTTTCAAAAGCTCATTCAATCCATTTATCTACAAATCCAACCGTCCCAACAGCTAATCGACCATGTGTCCAGCATCATTTCTACCATCCAAAAGCGATTATCATCATTACAACCGTCAACGACAACGTTCCCGTTCCCGTTCCCATTCCCATCCCATATGCGATCCATCCTTTCCGTCCTCTTCTAGTGCTCCTCCATCCGAACCACTACCTGAGAGTGCCACCAAACCGACGACAACTAATTCTCATTTAAAGTATACATTCAGTGAATCATCTCAAGCCAATGCTCGTCCAAAATCATGCTTAATCGCTTTGTCCATAAAACGAAGAAAACAACAACGATTTCAAAGAAAGCTCACCGCTCCAAATGGCCACCGCCTTCACGATCCAACTCAATCTCCAGACCAAACAAATCACCTTTCAAGCACACCTACTCAGCAACTATCATTATCACCATCGCTATCAACACACCATCACCACACCATCATCTTCAATAATTCCTCGCCCTATCCTCCTCATTCTACTCCTTCCTCCTCATCAAAGTCCTTTTATGACCTTCCTCACAATGAAACCACACAACCATCCATTGCTTTATCTACTTCTCCCTCCCAGTTCCATTCTCTACCTCAGCATAATATCCATACTAATCCAAATAATAATAATAATAATACTGTCCACAGCTATTCTCCGTCTTCAACTCAACAGTTTTCTCGCGAATCAACACGATCACTACCACAAAATTTATACTCAAATGCGTTCCACTATAAGCCTAAGCTGTTATCAAAATGCTCACAACATCTAAGACTATTATTATTCGTTACTCTACTATATCATATTGTTATTGGCGGCGGCGGCGTTCATGCAGAAAATAGTATGTTTTGCATTATTCATTTATTTAGCAGCTAGATCTCTTACCTGCCTACTTATTCATTTTCTTTATTCCAAGTCAGCTATTCTAGCTTCATAACAAAATCATTTCAAAACAAGCACCGCACCAGATTTTAAGAAAACGATTGATTCTAAGCAAGTTCTAATGATATTAACACGACAACGCTGCATCGTCTTAACGAAAATAATGCTCAGCCCAGTGATATTTTAGTTGTGGTATTGAATCGAGAACGCAATCATCCATTTTAAATGTTCTAGTTTATACAGTTGATTTGAGGTCGGTCACAAATAAAGGTTCACACCAGTTTGAGGTTCACACCACAGTCACAAATAAAATACCGAATACATTTCAACGCCATTCACTGTGCTCAAGTATACTGAGGTGTTCACTTCCATAGATCAAATAACAACTAATCATTCTGATCATTAGATCAAATCGTCACAATAATGATCGCAAATAATTCCTATCATGCGCATGGTTCAAGCATAATTTCTAGCGCTAAAATATACTCCCCAATGAAACCGAGCCAAGCCAATTATGTGGTTAATTGAAATGAAAGCAATTTTGAGGGATATTTAAATTGCCACGACTGATCCTGCACGCCGATCAGTACTATTTGATACGAAGACGTGAAGTGGATCTATCGTGTCAAATTGAGCCAGGATGGCGTGATACGACAATGGCTTATGTGGAGTGGATGAAGGACGGAGTGCTGATCGATGAGATCGATAATGCTAACATTCGTGAGGAGTTACTTGCTGACGGTCCAACGTATGTGATAATCACACAATAATCATGCATCGCCATTCTTTCGCAAATTCACTTATCAAATCATTATTCAGATTACGCATTCTCAACGGTCGTCATCATGCCGAAGGCGACTATCAGTGTTCAGCGGTCGTTCGTGGTGTACGCATCTCAAATGGTCAGCATATTGATACACGTCTCGTTTCGGCACCTGTCAAATTCCGTCGAGCTCGTATCACCAAATTCGATAAACTTGATGCTGAGGTCGGTCCATCATTTGCTCCTTTCATCTGACCTCCTTAAGGCATACCATATCATATCCATCCTTAACATATAATCCAACAATCAAATTCCATACAATTCAACCGATTACTCATTACCCATTGATTAGCTGATTGACTCATGTCAATAATCACGACTATAAACTGCAGACTGTGACTGTGTATCAAGGACAAATTGCCCGATTACCATGCTCTGGTATGCCCGATGTTATACCCGGTCCACCTGAGATCTGGTTCGAGCGTGAGGGTGTTGACAAACCACTGGGCTTACACGGTATTCAGTTGTTCACTTTTGAGTCCCTCCACTGGTCTCGTTAACGTCAACAAAACCATTCCATCGTTTCTAGGTGATCAACGCTATCTGGCCACAGTAAGCGGTATGCAAATGCCTCTGGCAAAAGTATCTGATAGTGGAAATTACTATTGTGTTGTGCGGAATACTTTCACAAATCAAACTCGTAAATCACCACATCCTGTATATCTTGAGGTATGTGTCTTTCTCTGCTTGCTTTTTCATAATGCAGCACACACCATTTACAGGTATTGCCGAAGAGTCAAACGATGCTTGAACCCGTTCTGGTCTATCCTCAAACACTCACCTCACCCTCATCACCCATCATCTTCGATGTTGTCAAAGGACAAACCGTTCTACTTGAATGTATCATATCGTCCGCTAAAATAGTTTGGACTAAGGTGTGTGTAAACCTTATAATCCTAAATCCATACATGATTCGCTTGATCGATTTATGTATCGCTGTGTTCATTCAGTTGCACTCACTCAATTCGGGTATTTCACTAACAAACGATCAAGCTCGATTCCGTCAAATCTGGGGTAATCTTCGCATACGACAAGTGAACGAGGCTGATAATGGCGTTTACGTATGCGAATCCTCACCGGTCTTTTCTCGTGGCGATGTCGACGGCTATCCAAAGGTCTTCTATAAATTACAGGTAGTCGTCACTTCCTCTGTGCATAATCCAACCCCTTTCTGTACCACAATGTTCCTTCAATAGCACAATGATAACTTTCTTCAAGACCTTTACCCTTGCCTTCTTTTCTCTTCAATTCTTCATGTGAAACAATGCCATCCGATATCTCATATTATCGTTGTTGCTGTCCACCCATAATGATCCATGCAGGTTCATTCACCAACTGACGTGCAGTTGATGCTTGGTCAGTTCGATGCAGACAAGAGTTGGCAATTGAGTTGCCTTGCGTTGAATTTACATTACGAAATCCCAATGGTCTACATGAATGGTTTAGCGTTAATTGATGCTATGGATCAGTTGGGTGTACCCCCACATACCAATTTCTATACGAATCCAATTAACGCAACACTCACGTCAAGTGTAGCACTGTCCGGAAGCGTTCAGGTGAGCACTCTTCTTCTTTTTATCACCCACCGTTCTTCTAATCTCACTTCTGCAGTGCATGTCAAGACCAGCAATGGACGAAGCCGAAGTGTACGGTAATGGTCTTGAACGTGGTCGTGCGATGAACCTCTACGTTGATAACCGTCTTCATAAACAAATCAATTTGATCTCACAAGGACCCGAGAACTCAACTCGTTCTATCGGTGATACCGTGCAGTTGGTGTGTCTTGTCGTACCGAGAACCACGCGAACACTCTGGTTGAAAGGTATGCATGATTGACGTTACTCGATGTCATTACTCGATGTCATTAATTAATTCAGATGACAAACGTGTTCCGTTGTTTGGCAAGAAACGAGTGAGCTTGGTGGGAACAGCCTCACTTCAAATCACTGACATACAAGCCGAAGATGAGGGTTGGTATACGTGTGAGGCTGCTGATAATACCAATCATAAGACACGCTCGAGCGCTTATCTTAAAGTTGTTGGTCAGTTCGCACCTCATCTCATTTTATTTCAACTAGAATGCGTTCAATTAGCAGTGTTTTGTTGCAGCAGAGGACGGTGTAGGAGGCAACGGCAACGGCAACGGCAACAATAACAGCGGTGATAAAAATGATAGCAGCAACAACGTCAACGATAAAACCAAGAAGGCATACGTCGATCTACCACCTGATCTTGACCACATCTCACCGATTTTCGATGCAGATGTATGTTTTTGATGAATTGACGACAACCGCAAATGAGCACATTATACATTAGTCGTTTTATTGTGTGAGCTGCTGCAGTGCTTATCATCATTGCACAGCTCAAATTCACTTCATTTGTCTCATTCCAGGGTCAGGAACTACCACCGCAACCAGGTGCCCCTCTATCGACAACCACGCCAATCACCTCTTCAACACCACCATCACCACCAGTTGCAGCTCCATCGAACCCACCCAATCGATTGCAACTCTCAGCTCCACGAGCATTCGTCATCGGTCGAAGTGTTCGTGTGCAATGGCATCTACCAGACATCCATCCGGACGCACGTCGTGTTACATCCTTTAGCATCCAACTACGAACGCAAACTACCTCTGAGCTCGAAGCATCTGATGCTGCTGCTGCTGCTGCAGGTGTCTCTTCAAGCGAATGGATAACTGCTGATCAGCAAGATTCACACGTCAGGGCTATGACCATACGTGCACTTATTCCTGGCAAAAGGTATTTCTTTCTCTACTTCCTTGTGTCAGCTCAACGCTTCACGTGACTTACCTATATGCGATCAGTATTACAGTATAATGTTACTAACAGCGCTTTTCTCTGAGTCCAGTCTACAATTATGTAGTGCCACATTTCTAAGCAAATCTTATATTCGAGCAAATCAAACACTGACAAAAGTATCACCACGATAATGAGCATTAAGGAACAATAAATAAAACAATGAAAAAGATGAATTAAGTCGCGAGATGGAGACACCAAAAGACTATTATAAAGAATGTAAATAAAATTTTAATTTGAAAAATGGTCATCTTTTAAGATCTTAAACTTAAATTCAATCGCAAATTTGTTTATTTTGATTCATTACTAAAAGTGTCTTCGAACGATAACCGAAAAGTTTATTGTTTAAATTGTTGAAATATCATTTCAATAATCTAAATCTCAGTCGAAACGAAGATGACCATAAAAATAAAATAAAACGCGCCGTGTCCTCATTGTCCTCCTCCTGGTGTGGGCCGACGATCGTATTGCCTTGAAACTGCTGAAACAACGGAAGGCAACACTGCCCAACTCAGTCGTTTCGAAGCATACACCGGAGGCTGCAGCCGGTCTATGCCCCGGCCCACTCACGAATAAATCCGTTAGTGGGCCACCGTGAGCTTCGGCGGGATCATTATTTGGGAATATTCTATTAGAACCCTATCATGAAATGGTCACCACTTTTTTGATCAATTTTAATTAAAATATTCATATTAATTTCACACTGAATTTAAATAAGTTAGTGAATGAATGAGATCGATTTGGATCATTCAGAAAGTCGACGAAATTTTAAATTTCATTTTTTTAAATTTGAGAATCGAAACATTTTAATTACTCAAAAAAATTCATTCCACAATAAAACGATCTGCAATTATCATTATTATCATCAACAAATACAACGAATAATAAGAGTGGTGACTTTGTACTTTGTCTCATTAATATAAGATAAAGTAAAGCACTGACTTGGAGGATGGCCCACACCACAGCAAACTTTCCCTTCAGCGTTCCGGTCATCGACTGGTCAAGTTTTTACGGAGAGACTGGAGCCAGCGCAGTCATCTCGAACCCTCCCTATTTATCCGGGCTTGGGACCGGCACTGGTTAAAAACCAAGTGGCTAGGTTAAAACTATTCCTATCAATTAGCATCCAACTCAGATACATGCTTCATCCGAAGCAAGCAGACACGAATGTAGCACCGTGTCAAATGCAAATTTCAGCTATCAATTCCGTGTACTCGCCATCCTCACGGATCGTTCCCGAGTGCTAAGTGAACCAAGTGAATGGCTACGAGTCGAACTCGACAGCAATAACAACAACAATGACGCCGTAACGTTACCATCCGAAGCACAAGTGAAGCGAATGCTTCCAGAAAGCGATCACTCGCTACGTTTGATATGGTCACACTCATCGATGGCCAGCACCGACTCACCGGATCAATTCATCATCTCGTACGGCAAGACCGAAGCTGATCAACAAACCTCATTCACACACATCCAAGTGAACGCTACCGCAAATGAGATTCTAATCGAGAATTTAGAACCGTCCACTGAATATAAAGCTATCGTAACGGCCGTTAATAGAGCCGGTAAAAGTCAACCCAGTCAACCGGCTTATGCTCGTACTAAAGGTTTGCTCTTCATTTGTTATTGTTTCACTCTTATCACCACTCTTATCATCGTTGCTATTTGATTCGATAATTTCAGCACTGCACACTGCTTCAAGTAATGATGCTCATTCAACTGGTCTATTCGCTTTAGTAAGTCGATCACTGCGCAATTTATCGTCGCAATGGAACTTGGAAACAGTCGCCGTTGGACTGACCGCCGCATTATTAGCCATCATCGCCCTGTTGGCATTCTGTCTCATTTGCTATACGATTCGTCAAAGACATACCAAAAAAATCAGTAAAGGTATTAATTAACTCATTTAATATACTCACCTGCCTTCATCTATATTTGAACGTATAGACAGACAGACACTCGGAATCGTTAGCACATTAGTATCAGTGAACACTGCCCTCATAGCACAATCGAGAACAGATACATTTTTAGGTATTTTTTATAGTTAGAGCAGTTGAATTCATTCGGATTGCTCAATTTACATTCCACATAAAATTGTTTCAGCAGCGAAAGGTAAATTCGTAGACACGTCACATCGCATTTTCAACGAACAACGTGTTCAGAAGACACGCTTCTATCACGATCCAACAATGTCTATATCGATGGCGTTAGATGATTTTGATGAGTATTCACCTCTTAAAGCATCGGTTCGTTTTACTCATAGTCACTTACTTCACACTTGAACACTATGCAATCATTAATTCCAGTGGCTAAATCAAACTGCAGCTGAACTGAAATGAAACGCAGCCACGCGCACATACATTTTGTTTACAGCATCGATTGGACGTTGACGATTCTCACCTGTCGGATTTGACGGCTGAAGTTGGAGCTGGTGCAGCAGAATCGTTTCCGTTTGGACGTGACACAAGCACATTGATGATGCCGAATTTGTACGGTGACGGTGAAGACTACTGTGAACAAGAGGCTTGTGATCAACATCCGCCAACGCATACAGCGTTTTCGCCGAATACCTATTCCAATATCAATAGCACACGAACAAATGCCTTTAATAACACCACTACTGCCTTTCTAACACCACCACTCAAATCCACCACTAATAATCAAACAATTGCCACAACCGCAGCACCACAAGACATGATCATGATCAAGTCTATGACGCTAATGTCGTCGTCCAATTCCTCAACGCTTCGTCGTCATTCTGGATTGCATAATTCACATGCTGATCCAGCAAGCATTCCGTTTAATTCTGCAACAAGCCACAATTCCACCACTAATAATGCGAGCAGTACCACATCCACAAGTCTCAGTAATCATTCGGATTTCAATCAACTAACACCAGATCACACACCAACCACCGTCTCACCAACGCCACATTTCGGCAACACTATCGACGAATACAATCACACCCTAACATCCAACTGCTCCTCAAACGGTATCATCGCTCAAACTTATACGAACGCTGCTGATTCCTACAGTGCTCATGCACTGAACAATGCCAGCAACTCGTTCATTCTATCCAATGTCACAAACGCCGCATCACCGCTTCTATCCAGAAGCGATATCAACACCCCGATTACCACTCGTCCGCCCAGTCAATCGCTCATCACCGAAAGGTTATAAATGCAATCAATCATTTCAATATATAAAACGACAACACTTTTAATATACATTATAAAATATAACGAACAACACAAGATGAATATACTGAATATAATGAACAATAGAATGAAATAGAACTGTAGAACAGAACTGTAGAATAGAACTGAAAATAGAACTGAATAGAACAATAGAATGAATATAATAGAAGCAAAAATAAAGCAAGACTGATGTCAAAAACGACCCATCATAGAAAGAGCGATAATAGTTATGTAGTAAACTGATGAATATGTTTTGCACATGTTTCAGTATGGACGACGAGTGTTTACGATTGGATGGCTCGTCTCGTAGTAGTCAAGTGTCATCGTCAACCAATAACACGAATACGATCACAACAGGCGATACGGCCCGATTCTTGCAAACCTTCAAATGCACTACTCCGAACACCGCTGCATTATTCATCGGTGGAGTGACAAACAATAACAACGTTGGCGTACAAATGCCAGCTAGTACAAATCAGGCAGCAGCTATAGGTGCTGCTGCTACTGCTGGTAGCATCTATACAAGTTCGGCGGGACCATCTTCAAGTTTCGGCTGCGGTTTGACGAATTTTAGTGGTGGTGGTGGTGGTGGTACTGCAACAACGAGTAGGACGAGTAGTTTTGAACGTGCTTATGGCCAAAACAACAACAACAACAACCACTGTAATAATCTTTCGAGACATCAACAAGCAAATGCACTGCTGCCAAATAATCGTCAAATTGCGCTCGATCAAGCAGATCAAACCATGTTGATGAAGATGATGGCTATGAACCACCCACAACACTACTTACAACACGAGCAACGATTGAATTCCGATCTGGACCTGGCTTCATCCAGTGGTGCCAGTAGTAGCAGCAACAGTAACACTTTCACGCATCATCATCGGCAATACAACACCGAAAACGATGATAAGACTATTCATTTGACACCGGCAGCAAACACCACCTATCATTATGATGCACTTGAGAACAGTGCTCATAATCACCTGAACAATGCAAATCACTTCACAACGCCTTATGGTGATGCTAATTCGGCCTCCTCTTCAGTCCCTATGTCGTTCACTGGTTACCGTGATCAGCAAACGAACACTGCAGCTGCAGCAACAACAACAGCAGCAGCAGGTATGAGCACACCAACTGGTGACGAGCTAGCTTATGCATCATCTACGTTTGGTTACTCAGATGGTCAAAGCCAAGCCACAGCTTCATCGGTTGGTTCGGCAAGCAGCGATGTTGCTCGCAGCAGTAAATCCTCGTCATGCTCTCGAACGCATCTCACTACGCCAACTCCTCCTCCCCCAGATGACTACTATTCGTTAAGTAATCGTACCGCAAACAGTACACCTGTTGCAACGTTGAACAATCGTAAAAATTACTCCACATCAACCGAATCGCAACAACACACTAAAACTCTTAAAATGCCATCACAATAATCAACTCTCCCAAAGTCTGCTCAAACTCTCATCTCATTTCACCTCATCAAGCTTTAAAAAAACATTCTCATCCATTGTCACCACTGTGTTGATCCGTTCACTCTGAAGTTGATGGCGACCCAGATTCCATTCCTATGATCCGATCTAGATCCCATGCCAACCCTAATGATACCACAACCTGAATCTCGGACCGGATCGAACAAACACTGCATCACACAATCAATAAGCAGTTCTTACTAAACCCAAACAAACAAAGTTCTAAAGCTGCTTTACCAAACGAATGCTCATTCTATTATTGTTAATTGTTGCTATATTAATTCTTATCATAACTCAATGAATAATGTTCAGTGTACATTAACGCCTAGTCGATCACGTTAACAATCAATCAACTTTTCTCGATGAATTTCATATAATGCCTTCCTTCTTACCTGTTATACGTTGTTGTTGTTGTTATTTGTTAAAATTCATATTCATATTATCAATACGATTCCCCTTGCCCAATACTTTCTGTTTGGGTAGGTATCTATCACCAGTGATAACNCATATTCATATTATCAATACGATTCCCCTTGCCCAATACTTTCTGTTTGGGTAGGTATCTATCACCAGTGATAACCATTTGTGTTATCAATACCCCTGCTTACTGTTATATCACTGTAATTGTACTGTATTTACAAATCGCCATTGTTGCTGCTTACTGCTCTTCAAATAGCAAACTAACCATGTGCATATAGACAAATAAATAAATATATAATAATGATAAAGAAATTATTGAATGCAGTGCACTCTCCTCTACGTCGTATTTTTCACTTACCTTTAATCATAATAGCAACAACAACAACAACAACAACAATAATAACTAACTTTAACGGAACCTCTACGATGATCACAGCAAATCACTAACTGCTCAAATCACCTCTAACTGATAACTACCAGTCATACTGATAACACCAACAAGCAGCACATACTAATAATGATAATTTCAAATCAACTTACATTCAACAACCACCAAACGAGCCAAACTCCAACAATCCAAATCACTGCGCCACTAATCTCTCATCACAATCTTCAATTAGCTTCTCATTAAGTTCACATACAAAACAGACAAACCAAAAAACAGTCAATCACTTAAACGTAACGTATTCTTCTCTTACTACTAACAAAACAAACACACCTCAAACTATAACAACGGCAGCATTAAAACAACGACAATAATAAAAATAATAACAACAATAATAATACTAAAAATGAAACAATAACAAAACATAATATTAAAAGTTCTTCGGCATTCTCTCCCCATGCACATGTTCCCTTCTTTATTCAGCAATAAGAATCAAAATAACCATCATCATAGTAATAATAATAACAATAATAATAATAATAACACTAAAAATAACTGACATCAACCATCAAACAGTATCACTAAACCATTATTTGCCGAAACGAATTGTTTTGCATCACGAACAATAATAATAATAATAATAAAAACAATAATACACACTCAAATCATTTACAGCTTCAAATCTAAACATAAAAAGAGGATATCTAATTCACCGTAACAAATTGCTTGATAATAACACAGATGAGAAAGACTTTTCGAGTTATTATGATATTCTTAATAATCATTTTCATCAATCATTTAATTAAAAACAATTAATTAAATAACACGCAACTACTAAAACCACAATAATAATAAAACCATTTACATACACACAAACAAATCCTATCAATACTAATCATTAAAACAATAATCGTATCGACCCACTCAT